TTTTTTCGTTTTCCTCCCACGGTTTAGAGTGCCTCGAAGAGATTGGCTGTCTGATTGACCAGTTTGGTCTCAACGTCTGCCAACCCTCTCCCGCGGCTTCGCTTAAGGTGCTCGCCGGACAGATTAGTGATCGAGACAGCGGTGTGCGCACAGCTGCCCTCAACTCTCTTGTGGCCGCATATGCCATCGTGGGAGAACCCCTCTGGAAAATGCTCGGTGAAGTGAGTTTCCTGTCTTGCGCTTTCAACCGCTACTTACTGTACTTCCACTTTTAAATGATGTGAGAAACATTCCCGCATGGATTTTGTTAGACATTCGTTCCCCCCTACTTCCCGCGGATTTTAGATGCCTGAAAAGGATCGGTCGATGCTGGAGGAACGTATCAAGCGCTCCGGCCGCCCGTCAACCGCCGCCTCGAACGCCACTTCTAAACGCTCCGCCTCTGAACGTCCGACAGCCAGTCGCAGGTAACTCCCTCTCTCCCTCCCTCTCTTCACCTTGCAGTGCCTAACCTTGAAGTAGAATGAAAGTCTCTGAAACAACCGGTTTCACAGATCGGCCGTTTTCTGCACTTCGTCATGACGATGGTATAATTGTCAATCTCGTTCAGCGATATTTACAAATAATTGTTGCGATGCATGTTTTGCGCACACTTCGTCTTCACAGTGTTTGGGACCAACAATAAATACTTCGTGTGTTTGAGAAAGAGGAAGCGGTGTAGCTAATTCATGTTGGCTTAATATGTGTGGGGAAAACTAATACGTGCGCGGGACTCGTATTCGTGAACTTAGATCGCTTAGCCACCTGATTCGAAGCTAACACCAGTTTCTTCGCAGGGTACCTATCTTAAGACTGCGTAACTTAGATTCTGTACTAATCTTCTTTGCTATACCTCAGCTCACAAGCAGTTTTCTGTTCCTTTTCTTCGATACAGTGGTGGTCTTTCTGCGACCTGCGACGAGTTACCGTCTGATCAAAGTCCCAGTCCGTGCCTTTTTATTTAATGTGAGCTTTAGTCATTAGCAGCTCTGTCGTTTCTTCGTGACTCATCATCTGCAGGCTTTTGCTGTACATGTGGGCTGTATAGCTGAAACCATTGACGTAGGTGATTGATACTTGGCGACTGTGGATCGTAACCTTCCAGTCGTCCTAAAAATTAGTTTGACCATGGAGCCCTGATTG